ATTCCCTTAAGCCTGCTGAAGTGTTTGTGGATAGGTTTTTGACTGATTCAAGCTCAATAGCTCTCTTCAGGCTTTGTATACCTTCTTAAGTCTATCTTCATCATTTATATTTTGTAGAAAATTACTCATTTCTTCTTAGTTTTTATATTTATTGGCATAAAGTTGTTCGTTTTCTATTGTACTTTTAAAATCTGGTATTGATATATTAAAAGCTGTGGTAAACACAAGGAAGTTAAATCAACAAAGGTTACAAAGCCAGTAAATAGTGAATCAGGATTCAGACTAGGTCTGCATGAATACAAAATCCATACCGTTTGCTATGTCACACTTCAGATACGTTTTCTTCCTTATTCTTAGCCAAAACTAAGCTGCTGTCTCAGTTGAACAGATAATTGCTTAGTATCAGCCTGTGGCAACAAACATTTTCAATATTCTTCATCAAAGAGCCACCTCTGGGGAAGCAAACACTGCCAGGTTTATTTTTAATTGTGAGATAAAAAAGGCATAGATGATTGTGATTTACTTGAGAATGTTGCATAGAACTATTGGTTGTTCAGAATCATTATTTATTAGCTTTTAAAAAAAAGCATATTTTCAGAAAAATGGAAAATAACAATTGTTGGCGAGGATGTGGCAACATTGCTGGTGGGACTGTAAAATGCGGCAACCAGTGCGGAGAACAGTGTGGCGGTTTCTCAAAAAGTTAAAACATAGAACAACCATATCACCCAGCAATTCCACTTCTAGGTATATATCCAAAAGAACTGAAAGCAGAAAATCAAACAGATACTTATACACCAATGTTCGCTGCAGCATTCTTCACAATAGCCAAAAGGTGGAAACAACCTGAGTGTCCGTTAGCAGATGAATGGATAAATAAAATACAGTATATAACACAATGGAATATTATTCAACCATAAAAATGAAAAATGAAGTTCTGATATATGCTACAACATGGATAAACCTTGAAAACATTATGTTAGTGAAATAAGCCAGTCACAAAAGGACAAATGTTGTATGATCCTACTTATATATGAAATATCTAGAATAGGCAAATGCATAGAGACCAAGGTTTATTAGTGGTTACCTAGCAGGGGTAGGTGGGAAATGGGGAAGTACAGGTAGTCCCCAATTTAAGGCATATTTGAGTTATGAGGAACCATACTTATGACCATTCTTTATTTTTTTGTACATTTTACCTAGTAATATGTACTACATACAATGTTGCAGTGTGTAATTTGCTGATGTTATCATTCTCAGATGTTCACTCACAGGATTAGTTGAAGTTTTTTCTAAACTAAATCAGGGACTTCAGTTGCTTGAAAACATGGACCCAAATGCTAATCGCTTTTCTAAAATTGCTAGGAGATTTGGAAAGCAGTGAGATGTTACCACAAATTACCAGCAGTCCCTGGATTATGAATGTCTGACTTACGTACAACTTGTAGTAACAAACCAACCTCCAAAAAGCCTATTGTATTAAAAATTCGAGATACATACCATGGTTTGTAATAACAAATGGGCGTTACTTTGCAATGTGCATCAAAATATTATGACTGTATTATTATGTTAAAGATGTTTTAGTGTACCTGGAAGTGTTTCTTATTAGTTTTTCATGCATAGAAAGGTACACCATATACTCTATACTAACACAAACATTTGACTAACTGACGTTAGATAGGAACTGTACCTAACTATTCTTACATGCAAATTCGATTTAAAGACAGATTTAGGAATGGAACTTGTTTGTAATCTAGGGACTGCCTGTATATGAAGAAAAAAAGAAAAGGACCATACAGACAGCTCTCGCTGATTTTCTTACTAGAAACACCATCCCCATTCCCAGAGATAATCCAGATGATCCAGAGCCTTCCACAAATGGAGTTATTACCGCAACTGACACAATGCCAACATCGTCCAACTCTTCTTCATCACTGGGGTAAATTTTTATGATTTGTAAATTTTTTAATATATGTATTTATGTATTAAAATATGTCTGTAAGTTTATATGTAATGTTTCCAACCCCCAAAGACAAATAAAGATCAAATTTATAAAAATACTGATAACAAAAGGCAATAATGAAAATTAAAAAAAAAAAAATGAGGTATTAAACTTACCTCAGAACTAACTTACAGCTGAGTGGTCAGAATGGAAACTCATCGTAAGTCAGGGACTACCTGTATTGCTTAAAGGGTAACTAAGTTTTTGTGAAGGGTAATAAAAATTTGGGAACAGATAGTGGTGATGGTTACACAACACTGGGAACGTAATTAATGTCACTGAATTGTACAAAATAAAAATGACTGAAATGGTTAATGTTTTGTTATATTATTTTACCAAAATAAAAAAATAATAAAGTGTAAAAAAAAAAGGTGTAGTAAAATAGATCAAGAAAAAAGGCATATATTCTAATACCGTTTATTTCTGTCTTTTTTTCTTGACCAATTTTACCACAGCTTTTAATCCTATCGATACTAGAGAACTAATGGTGGATGGACATTGTTAATCTTTGGTTTGAGGAAGAGAAAGATAGTGAATTCCTGAATATACAGATTGATAAACTTGGATGTTAATTCTCCACAAAATTCTAAAATTATTAAAATTCACTACTAAAATGATGGTCTTGAAAATGTCAACAACAAAGCAGTAAAATTGGAAGCAAAAGTAATACTAGTTCACAAGCTATACCAAACCAGTTTAATTTCTTGTTGTTTGTTTGGTAGTTACTAGTAATGCGGGAGATGCTATCAACATTTCAGCAAAGCTTCAGACAAAGCTTATAAGATACCCTGTGGAGCAGATGGAGAAATGTGGTTGGGTGACAGACAGTAGTTTAGGTAGATACTGATAACTCTCTGAATGGTTATACTCAAAGAATGATAGTTATTGGAACAAAATGAACTTGTAGAAGATCTCTATTCTTGTCCCATTCAACAGTCTTATTAAGGACATAAAAATATGCTTGTCAATTCTGCAGATGACATAAAGCTGGGTGTTGGGGGAATGGTCTGCTTCTATGCCTCCCATCCAGGCCGCCGAAGTAAAGGCCTTGGGCCCAGAGCATTCTCTGATAAGGAGGCTGAGAACTGGGTCGCCTTCTCTCCTTCAGTTCCTCCTCCTCAGAGAAGCCTTCCCTCTGTTCTGGGCACACAGTAACTTTATCTGTCTCTTGAACATCTGCTCCTGGCGGGGAGGGAACGCGGTCTCTTGTACTACAGCACAAGACAGAAAACGTGCCACACTGTAAGAGCCAACATGCGGTGGGGGGGTGGACTGAAGGGGAAACAGGCTTTCTGAGACAAACACGAGCGCCCTCATGCGGTCTGCCAGTTCACTACAGTTTGTGTTCTTATGTAAGCCGCTGCTATGGAGCCGCTATTGTCCACCACCACTATAAAACCTCTGCCCTCCCACTGCGGGACGCAGAGATCTGCTCTGGTCCTGTAGCCGCCCAAGACTTGCTTCATATATTCATCCCTCTAATATACTCCTTTGCTGCCATATGGAGTTGCCCGCCTCTTTGGTCTCTTGGCACCCTCCATTTTTGTAGACAAGTTTCAAACTACTGGTCCGTGCCAGGCCAGTGGGATATCAGCTAATATGCTAGATGACAGAAGTAGCACTCAAAAAGATCTAAGCAAGCTACAAAGATGAGTTTCAATGAATAAGATATTTAATAAGGACAACAATAAAGGCCTATACTTAGATTTTAAAAATCAATTACATAAGGATAGGTCTAGATTAGAGGTTGGCAGACTACTGCCTGTGGGCCAAATCCGGCCTGCCTCCTGTTTTTGTACGGCCCACAAGTAGTTTTTGCATTTTAAAATATTTTTTAAAATCAAAAGAATATTTTGTGACACATAAAAATTATGTAAAATTCACATTTAAGTGTCCATGAATAAAGCTTTATTGGAACATGATCACACTCATTTGTTTATGTACTGTCTATGGCTGCTTTCCTGGTATAATGGCAGAGTAGCTGTGACAGAGACGTTAGGCCTTTAAAGCCTAAAATATTTATTATCTGGCCTTTACAGAAGTCTGCCAACCCTTGATTTAGATGTCTTTGACTTGTAAGTTTGGATGGTCACAAAGTCAACATAAGGCAACAGTGCACACTGTCTGCCCCAAGAGGTAAAGTTATGCTTAGATAATAATAGTTAGAGAGGTACTGCATTCCATCAACGTTTATTGAACACCAACTAAGTGCCAGGTGCTGTGCTAGTAACACAATGATGAACAAGACCTAAGGCAAAGATGACAGACTAAGACTTGGTTCTTGTCTTCAAGCTTACAGTCAAGGAAGATGGACAAACATACAACTAATAATATGCTACACACTAGCGTAGTGTGATCCACATCCAGAATACTCTGTTCAGTTTTGGATAGTATATTTCAATTACTTATTGTAAAATATTTATCATATTTTATAATGTGTTAATATACTATATAACAAAGGCTTGATATTGTTCAGAAGAACAAACCCTTCTCTTCAGTCCAGGGCCATTTTAAGAACTCCGATGGGCCAAAACACTCATACATTTGAGGCCCTGCTCCAAATTATATGAAATATATTAAATTCACCCGCATCTCATATTAAATCTAATTCATAACTATATGGGTTATGTTGCAGCCGACACGTTAATTTGGTATCTTTATTTATTTCGATTTGCAATTTTTTTCCTTTTTTGAGGTCAAAACACTATTACCTAGGCCTCAGAAAAGTTTGTGGCTGGCACTAGCCAATCAAGAGCCTAAGTGGAGAGAACAAATTCGCATCAGGCTTCCCTCATCCCCATCAAATCACGAGCCTCCGCCCGACGATACCCTCCGGCCGTCCGCCTCCTCGCCAGGCATCTCCTCACAACCCCCGTCCACTCTCGCTCGCTCTCTTCACCATCAGCTCCCCCTCGTCTGCCTCGCACCGCCAGGCTCCCACCCCCGCGGCAGCCGGCTCCCACCTCCCCGGCAGCCTGCCCAACCCAGGCCCTTCAACCCGCTCGCCTGTGCCTCCAGTTAGCTCCGGGATCACGGACCACACCAGCTCGACGTCTCCCTTCCGCCCCACCCCACCTTGCGCGGCGCGCCCAGGCTCCCAGGCTCCGCCCCCCACGCCCTCGACGGCGTTCTCTACTCCAGGCTCTACGCCGAACGCGCCCCGTCGGCCCCGCCTCCACCTTGCTATTCTTTACTAAGTGGGCCCAGCTGCCTGGTACCGCTCAAGGACTCTTCCCCTGGCAAGAGCCTGGACGCGCGCTGGCTACCCTCCCCCGGCCCAGCTCTATCTCTGGGGCCCGGAGGACCCAGGGCATTCGCCCTCACTCGAGCACGCACGCGCAGTACTCATCTTTCCCGTATGCGAGTCCCCCGCCCTCAGGTCGCCTGTCCTGGCCCCGGCCCCGCCTCCAGGCAGGCCCCGCCCCTCTTGCAGGGACCTGCGCAAGCGCGGCTTCCCTGCCCAGCCTTCCCCTAGCTCCCGCTAGTCCCGCGGTCTCACGGTGCCAGGTAGCCCCCTCCCTTCTTCCAGTCACTCTCCGTCCCACCCTCCCTAGCTTTGTGCCCCGGGCTTCAAGCCGCTTCCCCTTCAGCTGCGCAGCGGGAGGAAGGAGCCGCCACCGAGAAGCTGCCCCTCGCTGCCCCGGGCAGGGGCACAGGTAGGTGGCGGCCGCGGGCAGGGCCGCTCACGGAGCCGGGGACTGCGTGTGGGGGCGGGGGAGGGGTGTGGGGAGGCGCGGTGGGGGAGGGGAAGGCACGAGGGATCTGCGAGGGAGAGAGAATCGGGGTGTAGGTTGGAAGAGGGGTGTGAGGATGAGGAAATGGGGGTGTGGGAGATGGGTTTAAGGGCGTGGTCAGGGTGCAAGGGGACGGTGGCGTGTGAGAATTGGAGTTCGGGGCCTGAGTGGGAGAAAAGTCGGGATTAGTTTGGCGGGACTCGGGGAGGGGCATGCGTGGGAACTGAGATGAGGACGGGGGATTGCAGTAGTGGGGAGGGAGGGAAGGAGCTAAGATTGGAGTAGGGGAAGGGATGGGGTCTTGGGAGTAGGGAAGAAAGAAGTTGGGGCTTTGGGTTGTAAACTGGGGAAAGTGGGGCTGGTCAAGGAAGGGGATTTTGAAGGTTGAGGACAGAAGACAGCGAAAAGGACTGGAGAGATTGGGATCCTGGGAGAAGGGAAGGCCTGAGAGTGGGAGGAAGGGAAGAGTAGATGGTGAAGGAGAGAGGAAGATGCCTGGAGGTTAGAGTGGGGTAGGGGTGGAATGATTGGGGAGGGAAGGGGAGGCAGGTGGGATTGGGTGTAGCGGACAGGGAGCCACATTCAGAGCTGGAGTGGAAGGATTGGAAGGGTGTGAGGTTTAAGAGGTGAGAGCACGGGAGCTAGGAGTGGATGAAGGGAGGGGTTAGGATTTTTTTGGTATGAGAATTGGATTTTGTGTGAGAGGCTCTAGAGTTGGCAGGTAGAAAAAGTGTGAACTGTCAAGATGTGGGAGAGATTGGGGGAGTAGAGAGCTGGGTATGGTGTGACCTTCTGGAACTTGGGAGAAGAAAGGATATAGATGGGAAGGGAGGTAGGAAAGTGCAAGTTATAGGGAAAAAATAATTGAAGAGTTGAAAACTGAGTAATGATGGTGACACAAAGAATAATGAAGGTCGATTTTTAGTTGGTTATTGGTAGTTTAAAACTCGTTTCTGTTGAAGTTTTTGCGTTAGAAATTTTGTCATGAATACTGCATTTTCAAATAAACCAATGGTGTCTGCAGTCTTGGGATGAAGGCCATGAGTTGACAGATGTGTCCCTGGTGTGTGGATGTGGCTCATTTCTGCCCTGGCTGAGGGAAGAAGGGAGTCCTCACTGTAGCTCTGCCTTGGTTCTGCCCCCACCAACTGCTTCTTCACATGTCCACTGTGTTTTTCTTAGCTCCCCCCCGCCTTTACCTCCTTCTCGTTTGGGCCACTGAGTACCAAACAGGTGGGTGAGATTAATTTTTAACATTTTTTTATCCTTAAGGCTGATGTCATATTTTTATTCTAGAGAAATAGCATAGTGCAGTAGAAAAAGCTGGAGCTTTGGAATAATGTTGTTGTTAGTTGCTATCCAGTCGATTCCAACTTGTGCGATCCCATGTATGCAGAGTAGAGCTGCTCCATAGGGTTCTCAAGGCTGTGACCTTTCGGAAGAAGATTGCCAGGCCTGTCTTCCTAGGCATCTCTGAGTGGGTTCGAACCGCCACCCTTTTTGCTAGTAGTCTAGTGCTTAACTATTTGCGCCACCTAGGGAGCCCTTTTTGAAATGATTAAAGAAAAAAAAAAAACATTTTTTCCTCTTCTTTTGATTTCTTCCTTACCTCTCACCACCTCCCCCTCCTTTCGCTCAAATACCTGGCTCCGTGCGCCATCTTTGCTTCTTCCTGAGGGACTGCGGAGCTCCAGTAATTTGTGATATACACTTCCCCACCGCCTACCCTTCTTTACCCACACTCGGCCTCCTCTGCTTCCCGCGGACACAGTCTCTTGTCCGCGAAGCACTGGCTGCTTGGATTCCACCAGCCCGCACTAGCTGGCTCTCTGACTGCCATTTGTTGGCTGCTGGTGTTGCTTTTTTTTTTCCCTGCTTCTTTTGATTTCTTGCTTACCTCTCACCACCTCCCCCTCCTTTCGCTCAAATACCTGGCTCAGTGCGCCATCTTTGCTTCTTTCTGAGGGGCTGCGGAGCTCCGGTTGAGTGTGGAACTGCTTCCCGGTGTGGGTTGCCGCGCTGGTGGGATCCCAGGGCTTTTGTTTGTTTTCAATTGTTTGTTTGTTTTCTTTTCCTTTTCTTGAGGTGGGAGCCTGTTCTGGCCAGGCGGTGCTGTGTGGCTTGGAACCTAACCCCTTAGCTTGCACAGACATGCAGACGGATCCCTGACGGCATTTCTTTTTTCATTGGGTTTTTTTTTTTATTTTTCCTGTTTTTTTGGGGGCTTTTCTTGTTCTTTTTTTTTAATTTGTTTTGTTTTCTTTTCCCTCTTTTTCCCTTTTTGTCTTTCTTCATTACTCAGTTTCTTATCTCTCTATATTGTTCTTCTCTTTCTGTTCCCTGTAATACCTGGCATTGTATATCTCTACGCTTTCTACCCAGGCTGTATTGCAGCACCTGAGAACAACTTCCCCAGACATCCTAGCCGCACCGATGGGATCCCTGGGAACTTTGCTGTTCTTTTCCCTTTCCGATTTTTATTTATTCATTCTTTTCTTTTTTTCTTCCTCTTCCCCTTTTTGTTTTTCTCCATTTCATAGTCTCTCATCTCTCCACTCCAACGGCAAGCTCCGTTAGCATTCTTATTTGTTTGTTTGTATGTTTTTGGCTCCTGTTCCTCTCTCCTGTCTCCCATATCCATCTTAGCTCAACACATAACAATCTCCCTGCTACATCCTGCCTAACTGCACCCTGTGGTTAACATCACACCACCAAGCAGCACAAGCACAGCCTACTGGAACCCGCCCTGCACTGATTACTGACCCGCCCTGGTGGCCGTAGTAAGTGCCACAAACAACCCGTCCCAGTAACTCCTCTTCAGCTAGACCTGCCCTGCTGTGCCATATCTGAGTGACTGACCCTGCCAATTGGAGAAGGAGGCAAAAAGTATTCTGCCCACAGACGAGCAAACAACAAAGAACACACAGCCCGCCTGCTCAGACATAGCCCAATTTAAAAAAAAAGGGATGAAACAAACAAATCTACCATCAATAAACGATAAAAATAACTACTGAATGCCCCGAAGACAGCTGACAATATCAAAACATTTACAAAAACAAGACAGGATGGTTCCAGTAGGCATCCAAAATACAACACCAGATGACTTTCCAGTGGAAGAAAAGGCACTAGAACTACCTGCTGGAGAATTCAAATCTCTAATACTCAGAATTCTCCAAGAGCTGAAGCAAAAAGCAGACAAAAATGAAGAAAAGATAGACAAATTCATGGAAAATACAGACAAAAAATTGGAAGAATTCAGGAAGATAATGCAGGAACAAAATGCCAGAAGAAATTCACAAATAGAAATTATACAAAAACAACAATTAGAAATCCAAAA